ATATTTTACCTAGTTTTATGTTTAGCCATTTATAACCACCTTTTGGTACACAGAAGATAGGAAACAGTACATTAATCTTCTGCAGAGGGCTCCAACTAATTCATACAGCACATGGAAACCCATTTATAGTGTCTTTTGAACATATTCAACTTAAAATTCATTCAATATCTGGAGATTTCCAGGGAAAAGTTTTGAGAAGTTACAAATACTTCCTAAGTCACCAATTACTTGTGAATTCCTACAGCTATTGCATACATCTGTGACAGTTTTTAGAACAAATTATTTGAAAAGCAACAATTTTTCAATCAGATGTGCTGCACAACCCAACAATACACAGTTCTCCAAGTGCTACAAGTACTGCTGAGGGAAGAGCTGAGAGGGAGAAAAAATTTGCAGGCAAACACTGCAGGAATTGCAGTGTTGGAAACTTCAGGACCTCAAGCTCAGCACCGTTTCAAACAGAGCAGGGACAGTGTACCAGCAGATCACTGCTTGTGTGGCAAAAGCTGGATGGCAGAACACCACAAGTAAGAGAGATCACACCATCAGGTGAGAAGGAAAATACCTCAAACACAGTAGGTTCAGCCCAATGAGCCTCTAGGTTTGCAGGCTGAGAAAACTACTATGTTCATGCATTTTTAAAAGTAACTTATTATGAAACCACTTACTTGAGGCACACGAATTGTGATTCTCAACTACACATACGTTATTCAGCTTTCAGAGTTTAAGATAATCCACAACAGATAAAACTGAAGGAAACCAAAGAAGTGGCAGATAAGACTTTCGCGATTATCATTATTTTAATCAGTATGTTGACTGTCAGTTACCAGCTGGAGGTTACTGCACTACAGATTAGCTGTAACACAGAAGCAGAGCTTGCTCCATGCTGAAAGCAAACCCCACCATGCCTCTTTGTTCGATGCTCCATCAGTAGGGCTACAGCTATGTTCCACCAAGGACTAGCTCTAATCTGGAAACCATTCAGCCACAGCACGCAGCCCAGCAACCAAACTAACAAGGCATTCTGCGCTGGACCTGGCTGTACATAAGGCTCCAGCAACTCTGCACAGCATTCCCAGAACCAGGAACACCCAGCAGAGCCCATCTGGTCCAACATCGCTTGTGAGGCCCAAATCCAGCCCAAACATCCTACTAGAGTGCACAAGCTGCACCACAGGCAGCTAAACCCACCCGAGAGCGATGCAGCTGTGCTGAACCGTGCCCTGGGGAACCCGCGCAGCCTGCGCCCGGTCCCGGGAGCCGCGGTCCCTGCCGAGCATCCACCGAGCCCGGGGCAGGCGGCGGGGCCGGCTTTGCAGCCCTCTGGCCGCTCCTCAGAGCCCGGCCGAGCCCCGGGAGCCGGGCAGTGCCCCCTGCCCCTCCTGCCTTTCGCCCGGCTCTTCCGCGCACCGGCAGCGCCGAAGAAGCCGAGAGCGCCGGGCAGCGGCCGGACGGGTCCGGTGCTGCCGCGGCCCCTCGGGCCCGCGCTGCGGCGGAGGCAGGGCGGCAGCACACGCTGAGCACACGCGGCGGCCCCGCCGCCCCGGCCCGCCGGGGCAGCCCGAGCCTGTGGGCAGCACCGGGGGCCGCGGGGCTGCGCAGGGCCCGAGCAGGTTCTTACCGAGAGGCGGCTCCGGAGCCGGGCCCGGGGCCCGCAGCGGACATGGCAGCGGCGCCCGCGCTCCCCGCCCGCCGCCGGAACAGAGCGCGGCGCCGGCAGTGGCGTCAGCGCCCGCCCGGCCGGGCGGGGCCGCGCCGCTGAGGGGCCGGAGGGGCCCGGGCCGCCGCCCGTGCCGGTGCCCGTGCCGGCCGCCGCCGCTGCCCGGGGCCGCCGCCGCTGAGGGGCCGGAGGGGCCCGGGCCGGTGCCGGTGCCCGTGCCGGCCGCCGCTGAGGGGCCTGAGGGGCCCGGGCCGCCGCCCGGGGCCGCCGCCGCTGCCCGGGGCCGCCGCCGCGGGCCTCTGCGCTGTGGCGGCCCCGGGTCGCGCTCGCTCACTTTCCCAAGGGTATTTAAATAGAGAAGGGCCCGGCCGGGTGCACCAAAGCCGCTCCATCACCGCCCTAAGCCGGGCAGGGGGAGAGCAAACAGAACGAAAGGCTGGCGGGGCGAGAGCAGGGCGGGAGAAATCTCTCACCCAGCACCCCTACGGCACACATGGCCCGGCGGGAGGAATCCGTTTAATTTATTTTGAGAGAAATCTGAGTAGGGTAACGAGAAATAAACCCACATCTTAATCCGCCACCGCTCCGGGGTGTCGGACTCGGCTGTATTCGCGATTCTCGCCCTCCTCCCCCAGCGCTGAGGAGCAGGGCATCCATCACACGCTCTCTCCCTCCCTCAAGGGTCGGGCTGCTCAGAGTTTTCCCCGCTCCAGCGTGGGGTATTTCCCACGGCGTCAGTCTTCCAGGGACAGGCAGCTCCGGTTCGGGTCCCCCATGGAGTCACAGGTCTTGCCAGCAAACCTCCTCCCTGCGCGGGTCCGCAGGTCCTGCCCGGCCCCTGCCCCAGCACGGGCTGCCCACGCTGCTCGGGCATCGCCCTGCTCCGGCCGGGGGCTGCACATTCCCCACCGACGCTAGGCTCTGCAGAGCTGTTTCTCACATATCCTCCATTCTCTTTGGCTGCACATTGCTCCTGTGCAAAAAACTGTTTCTCCTTTTTTATTATGTTATCCTAAAGGTGCTGCCGCCATCACTGATGGGCTCGGGTCTGCCCTGGAGCCGAATGGTTTTGGCTTCATTGGGCACGGGGATAGCTTCTGACAGCTTGCCACTGAAACCACCCCTGCAGTCCTCCACACTCCTCCACTAGCACAGCCTGGCCCTGCAAACCCAATGCATTAAAATGGTTTGTCACATCGCAGCCACACAATTGGTCTGTATAAATTTCCCATATGCAGGCCAGAGAGTTCAGCAGGGTTTGTCTGGTTGAGTTTTGGAGAGCTCCAGCAGATTTTCCCCCTTCCCTTATGGCAGGTAGAAGCTTGCTGAGCCTTTAAGTTCACCCCTCCCCCCCACCCCCAACAAGAGTTCCTATAATAGTTTAAAAAAAAAAAAAAAGATGCATTGAAGCTATTTCTGTGTGGTACAAAGGCTTTCTCTCAAGTATAAATACAGAAAGATGAGAAGGTGGGAAAAGTTAAAGGGCAAAACACATGGGGAACGCACTTTATTTAAAATAACTTTTCAGGATCCATTTTATTGCAAGGTAAAGCAGAGTAATGCAACATTGCAGTAAGAACAATAAAGTACTTCCAGGAACAGAAGAAGCAGCTCAGCCTGTTTATTAGAAATGCATTTTTACTGACTAATTAGCATAACATCTCCTGAAGTGGCCTTGGGGCTTTTCTCTCTGCTTATCCTTTTCCTCAGATGCAAGTTTATGTTTGTTCCCTGTGCCCACAGTGCTTGTTGTGGAATAAAGCCTATTACGTACCCATGGTAAAGAGCTAAACTGTAAACTCTTGAAAGCTTTCCAAGAATCAGTGGAAGATCATGCCAGCTTTCCATGTAAAAGTCTTTTCCATTTCCTCCAAGAGTTTCCAAACTCCATCTCTCAGGGCTTTAGGGTCTGTGAAATGAGAGCTCCACTATTGCTGGGAGCCAAGGGGGAAAAGCAGGTCCCCCTCTCTTCCAGCTGTGAGAGCTCCTCATCCAGAATGTGCCCACAGAACAGTGCAGAAACAGAGACAGATTCTGGCTTTTAAATTACAGAAATTGCTCCCTTCCTGTGTGCTGTGGCTCTGCAGATTCAGGGTGCAGCTCTGAACGTGTCTGAGGAGGATGAGGTACTGGAAGTACTGCTCCGTTACTGGAGCAGAGCCCAGGACTAGGAGGGAGATCACTCTTACTGTGATCAGACTCTTTCCTCTGGCACTGGGCCTGAAGTGCAGGGCTGGCCCTGGCAATGGCCTTAGAAAAATAAACATCTTAGTTCTTTTCCTTACTGGAACAAATAAAGACAAAAGCTGCCTGAGGAGCTCCAGAGGATACATCTGAAGGACCCGTATCTCGGCTGGGTACAGGCAAAGCAGTACAAATATTGGTCCTGTCTTTGGAAATGCTTGAACTTATCTCTCCTGTTCTTGGGCAGGTGTGGGAGGGCTGCTGTCCTGGACATGAATAATTGGTGTCACAGGTCAGATATACTCTTCCTGTCATCAACAGACAGGGAACCAACAACTGTTGTGAAAACAAGTAAGTTCCCTTCCCTGCCCAATTTCCTGTGCTGGCTTGAGCAATTTGGGTCAGAAAAGGAACCCCAAGTGTCTCATGACTGGTAACAGAACTCAGCACCCACGGAAAACCACTTTGCCCTGGGCCCCAGTGGATTGCATCTGGCCCTGGGCAAGGGGCCTCCTGTGCTGTTGGAGTGTGTGAATTATGTGTCTGTCAAGTGTCCTGACCTAACACTTCACTTGCTGTAGATCAAGAACTGGTCAGCTTTGAAAGGATGGAGGAAAAAAATAATGTACTGGCTATAATTCTAAATTAAATAAGTAAGTACAAAAATACAGAAGCATTTTAAGCTTTTTTTCCTTATCATAATGCCCATGCTGACATTGTTATCTGGAGCCTCCTGAGCAAGACTGGGTGTCTGCAGACACATGCAATCAGTCAGAAATTACTAAACTGAGTGCATGAAGCTGCTGGCTGGCCAGTTCTGCTTTCACACAGGAAGCCAGGGCAGATCATAGTGCCCTTTGGCAATAATGCTGATCTGGTGGAGGGAGTGGGAGAGGTGTGCTGAGGGACTGCAAATTTCCTTTCCTTCCTTATTTTACTGACCCAAGATCTGGAAGCAAAGATTCATAATAGCTATTCTCAGACATCTGTCAAGTTTGGATCCCAGCAGACCACATGAGACACTAAGAAGGGATGAAGGGATCGGAGGTGCAGATCTCTTTGACAGCAGTTGAGGAATTCCATGGGCTACGTCCCTTACAGCCACTCAAGAGCTTTATTAGCTCAGACTCTCTTCACCAGACCATGTAAGCTGCTTAGAAGAGGCACCCAATGATACTCAGAGCTCAATCTGTTCTTCCAGGTCTTTTAGAAGTCCCTTACAGCTCTGATACTGGATCCACTGCAAGAGCTGGGCAGGCAGAGGAGCAGGGATGGTGCTATCTGGACTGACACAATGGGTAACTTTGGCACACTCAGCTTCTAACTGCTCACTGCAGAGGCTCAGTGACACACTGCTTTCATGTTAAAGCAGTCATCTAAGCTGTTCTCAGTGCCCATGAGAACACCAGCCTGGACAGATGGAGCTTTGCTGCCAGATTACTGCAGGTTCCAGTTCTGCCCATTGCATGTGACAGAAGAAATGAGCGTCCGTTCTTCTGTCTAATTGGAAAACTAAAATGTAAAAATCCTGGTCCTCTGTTGTGTCCTGGTGCCTCTTCTTGAGAAAAGATGAGTGAATAATTCACACCTTTCCATGTGCAACCAGAAAACACTGAGTGGCTCTAACCGATCCTAATGGCATCCTCTTGGTGAATGGTGCCCTCAATCATCGTATCAGTTGTTTGCCTGGAGCATTTGCGACTCCCTTTCATGCTTCTCAGGTTTTCTGAAACATGCTTCTGAAACTTCTTGGTGAGGAAGCAGTAGATGATCGGGTCCAACACACAGTTCGTACTCAAGAGGCACAAAGTCACCTGGTGAGCATCGTTGAGCTGCTGGCGCAGCTGACAGTTTTCCTTCTTCCACTGCTCCAGAACCGTCAGAGTCCAGGGCAGGTGCACGATGTGATGGGGCACAAAGCTTATGATGAACACAGACAGCACTGTGCACACCATCCAGAGGGCCCTCTGCTTGACATGAGCGCTTTTCTTTGGATGCACTGACTTGGAGAACAGGGTCCTGATAATGACAATGTTCCAACCTAGTATTAAAAGGAAAATGATATAGAAGAGGATGCAGATGATGACATGAATGGCGAGAACAGCTGAAACACCACTCGTGGTGTCATAGCGCTCAAAGCACCGCGTGAAATTCCTGGAGTCCACCTCCTCCTGATTCGTATTATTGTCAAAAAGGTAATACAAAGAGCTGCCCACTATTATGATCCAGATAGCTGCTGATAGGTAGATACCTCTTCTCTGGGTGGTCAGCTGAGCAGCTTTAATAGGATTAGTCACAGCTTGGTAACGGTTGTATGTGATGACCATCAGAAAGGCAACAGAAGTGTAGGTATTAACAAAAAATAAACAGCCAGCCACGTTACAAAGGAAGTCAGGCATGATCCAGTCTCCATGGTGGTGGTAGTAAACAATCCACATTGGCATCGTAATTAAGAAGAGCAAGTCAGCTACTGTCAGGTTCACCATGAATATCTTGATTTCATTGAGTTTCTTGGTGGGGTAAATATGGGTGAAAATCCAGAGAACATAGCAGTTGGCAACAAAGCCTAGAATGAAGATAATGCTGTAGAAAACAGTGAAGAGGCTGTAGCGAAACTCAGAGTCTATGTGGCATGAAATGTAGACATCAGCACTGCCTTCTGCACCTCCTTTGCCTTTTCCAGACATCATGGTGTTGAGTGGCTATGTCTGAAGCTCAGTTTCCTGCCACAGCTTTTCTTCTCACCTAAAAATAGACAGCAGAAATCAAGCTGGTTGGTTTGGCACCATTGCTAAGCCAAACTTCACCTTTCTTTATCATTTGTCTATGACCATAGGAGTTCTGCTGATGCCTTGGTTCCAGCCAGACACCTGCCCTGCCTCCTTGGTCCTGTCTTTGAGCCCATTTCCACAGCACACAAACCTGTGTGTCTTCATCCAGCATTGTTTGCTGCAGTGAGGTCTCAGATCGCTCATCTCTAATCTTAAAATACTTCCCTGCATGAAAGTTCTTAGATAACAGTAATCTGTTACACTGCCCTATCTCAAGCTTCTTCTTTTACTAGAATCAGGAGTGTTTTCTATGACTAATCTTCTCCTTGCATGTGGTTCTCCTTTTTACCCTGCCACTTCCCCCATGCCCCTACCTCCCACCATGGTTCCTGATATTTTTAACTTCTTTACACTTAAAGAATTCCGGATGTGAAACAATATGTGGTAAAAACTTCTCGCAGGATCCCAGAAGAGTTTGGGATGGAAAAGACCTTGGGAGCCCACCTAGCCCAGCCCCTGCTGATGCAGATTACCCTGAGCAGGTTGTGCAGGAGGGCATCCAGGCAGGATTTGAATAACTCCAGGGAAGGAGACTCCACACCCTCTCTGGACAGCTTGTTCCAGGGCTCTGTCCTCACAGCTAAGAGGTTTTTCTCATATTCAGTTGGAACTTCCTCTGTTTCAGTTTATGCCTTGTGTCCATGTCCTGCTGCTGGGCACCACTGAAAAGAGTCTGGCCCTGTCCCCCTGACCCCTCCCTGCAGACACAGACAGACAGGGATGAGGTCCTCTCTCAGACTCTCTTCTCAAGGCTGAACAGCCCCAGCTCCCTCAGCCTTTCCTCCCCAGAGAGATGCTCCAGTCCCTTCATTATCTCTGCAGCCTCTACTGGACCCACTCCAGAAGCTCCATGGCTTCCTTGAGGGGTTTAATTATACCTTGAGGAGCCCAGAAGTGGCTGCTGCACTCCAGATGTGGCCTCACCTGGGCTGAGTAGAGAGGCAGGATCACTTTCCTCACTTGCTGCTCCTGAGCAGGTGCCCTCCTGCCTCAAAACCTTCTGGATCCTCCCCAGCAGCAGGCAGTGCCAGGAACCCCCATCCCATCCTCTGTGGGCTGGGTCCCCCCCGGGTGCCCTTGTGCTGTTGTTCCTCATTTACACATTCGCTTGTTTGCAATTTTCCTCTGCAAATGGGGAAGTCAGCTGGAGCTGGAGCTTGCTTCCCCCAGTTTCCCCAGAATTGCAACCCTTGGTACTGCTCTCCAGTCGTTAGGAGAGGAAGGCAGCACTCATCTTCTTGAGGGTCCTGCCTTCCTTACCCCTCCCAGGTCTCTTAAGGACACAACAATTACAGGATTTGGGCCTTCCCAGGCAGCTGCATGTTGGGCAGTGCTGAGTTCCAAGTGTCTTCAAGCTCAGTTTTCCAGGCATAGTCCGAGCAGAATGGACACGCAGTGCTGGGAGCTGGCCCCAGGTGACACATGTGTTTCTCCTCATTCTCCTCATTCTCCTCATTCTCCTCATTCTCCTCATTCTCCTCATTCACCTTGACCTCTGCCATGCTTCTGAGAGCCCCTGATCTCCAAAGAGCAGTAGATTATTCAGGGTTTCGTCACAGGAAGTGTAATGTTTGATACACTAGTCTGACATTAGAGTAAGGAATAAAAACCCTATATAAATACCTAAGATAATTGGAGAATTTTTTTCCTTTTTTTTTTCCCCAAATATGTGCCATAAATTCACACTGCTGTGACTATCTGCAAATAGTCACTGCTGTGACTATCTGCAACACCAGCAAATAGTTCTGGTGCTTAGGGCTGAGATCTTTGCAATGAAAAGTGGTCTATTCCTGTGGCACCAGACCTGAGTATACCAAGAGTGAGAGGAAAAAAACCAGGTAATGCATCTCTCTAGCAGGATTCATGAGGAGAAGTGCTTATATCCAACACATGGGCACAGCTGCTGATCACAAAGTCCCTTTAGACGGTGCCCCAGGGCACTCTCCACCCACATCTCCATTTCTGGTTCTGCACAATGGCATGGTGGCCACCAAACTTTGCCCAGGAGTTCTGGAGAACTTTACTGGCTGCAGACTGCACACCAGCTGCCAGATTTAGCAGATGGGGTGGAAGGGAGAGTGAATATGCATGTCCTCTCCATGGCAGAGTCCTGCACAGAAGCTTGAGCCACAGGGCTGTGCTCTGAAATGGAGGGGTGAGTGTGAGAACGTGCTCTGTGACTGCTTCCAGTCTGCTGAACTCTCTGGCAAAGCTGGTCTGTGGGAGATGGCAGTGCCATCTCCTGGCCCCAGCACCACCTGGTAGACCTCACCTATCTTTGATTAGAAGCTGTGCTGTGCCAGGGTCCTGCAGGGAATCACAGGAGAGGCGTCCTTTCCTTCCTATGAGCCAAGTGAGATGTTCTACAGAGCACAGCTAGAACATAGCACCATTCCCCACAGAATTTACTTAAAGCCCAATTCCCTCTTCAGCCTGAGGAACCCAGGCTGATGTCTCTGTACATTTGTGACTGTCCTGAGCCCTGGGGCTCTCCTCAGCCTGTCCTGCTGAGGCAGTTCCCCTTTCTCTGAAGCCCGTTTGTGCTGCCTGTGCCAGCAGAAGGGTGAGCAGGGGGCTGTGGGTCCTGTTCCCTGCTGCAGCAGCAGCCTGTGCTGCCTGGCCAAACCCCCTGAGACCTCCAGCCCAAGCCAGTGCCTTGTCCACAGTCCCCCAGGCAGTAAGCCCAGGTGGTTTGTACCATCAGCTGCACTGGATGCAGGGCTGAAGGTGGAAGTAAGCACCTGCCCATCCTGCTCCCAGTCTACAGACTGTGCCATGGACTGTGCCCTCCCAGTCAGGATTTACTGGCTTATGGATGCAAGCAAGCTCTGCCATCAGCAAGAGTATATTCCAAGAGGAATAGTACTAATAAAGCATATTTTCTGCTTACCAGAGTTGAAAAAAAATCAGCACAAAATGTCCATCTTCAGCCTCAATAGCAGAGAGGGGTTCACTGAGGATGCTTGGTTGTCTCCCAGATGTTATTTTCCCTGCCCTGGGGCTGGACAGTCTCTGCACTGGCAGCTCTTAAGAACAGGGCACCAGAATGGAAGCAACTGTAACATGACTGCAGAGTCACTAGAGGAGAGGAAATGTGTGACATCAGCTAAAGGAAATGAGAATAAAATAAGCAGTAGAGGAAAGACAATTAGCCACAGCAAAGTCCTTAAGGCTTTTTCCTCAGAGTATCTCTGCTTCTGATGATCATGAAAGAGAGCAAAATTGGGATTTTCCTCTAAAGGCAGAATAGAAATCAATTCTGTGTCCCCAGTTAGATTTGGGAATAGACAAACTTTTGGAGCATCTTTCTCCCAAACATATAAGTGGCAGAAGAGCCTCAACTTAATAATTTCCAAGAAAGGGATAGGAAACTCATATATGGACAGATCATTTCCTAGCACTCATCTTCACCTTTGTGCTGGAACTAATTCAGGAATTCCACTATCCCAAGTATCCCTTTATCTCAGGGATATTCAACAGACAGAGACACCACAGCAGGGCAGATTGTTACCTGTCCCATACACCATCACATTATGGCCACTGTTACCTGTGGCAGCCTGAAGATCACTCAGCATGGTGATGCTGATGGTGGGGTGCTCAGAGACACCAGTGATGAGCAAAGCTGCACACATGTCCCCCAGCCAAGCTGTAAATCCCAGGCTGTAGCTCCCATGGCCACAATTAACCTGCCCTCCATGCTTGCCTCTGCTCTTACATCTGCACACAGCACAGATGTGAGCTTAGAGCAAAAACCTCTCACCTGAGACACCTACAGGAACCAGAGCCCTGAGTCTGGTGCTTGGGGGTGCTTGGGGTCACTGTGAAACACACTGGAATAGCCACAGAGTCCATCACCAGGACAGAGGGGTCTCCAGCCTGCCACAAGGCTGCTGAGCAGTGGCAGGGCCCAAGCAGCAGCAGCAGAGCCCAGTCTGCACTGGAGTTCCTCTGGAAAGGCTGGGAAAAGCTCTCCTGGTTCTTCTCAGGAAATGTCCCCTGTGGCAAACATTCCATAGAAGGTCCTGGCCGTGTCCATGCTGTTGGGGCACCAGAGACTCATGGCTTCATGTCCTGGGAGCCACGGGGACAGGCTGAGGGTTGTGTGCCCTGGGTCTCACCACTGAGGACACCAGCCAAACTTCTCCAAGAGCAAGCAGCTGGCACAGACACTGGGACACTTTCAAGTCACACTTTTGTTGTTGGGCTGGTGAGTCCTGAGCTGTGAGCTGGAATATGGCAATTTCCTCATCAGTGAGGGAGAAGGGTACTGACAGAGGGGCCAAGGTGGACAGCAGCAGTGCTGCTCTGTCAAAGCGCTGGCTTTTGGCTCACCTGGCCTCAGGAGCCCCAAGGTTTTGGGCAGCCATCTCCATTCCAGAATCCACCTACTGTCTGTGCCAGTGCCTGGATGTCCCCAGCCAGGGGCAGGCAAAGCCCCAGCACCAGTCTGGACTTCTTTGCCTGGGTTGGCTCTTCCCTGGTTCTTCTCCAGAGGGTGCAGGTGGCCTCTCCCAAGGCCACTACAGAGGGAAACACCTGGCATGCACTTCAGCACAGTGCTCTGAAGGTGTGCATCCAGGTGCCAGGCAGCCCCCAGGATCCCTGGGTGAGCTCCAGCCAGGCTGGAGATGTGCAAGTGCTCTGCAAACTGCAGGACAATCCATGTCCTGCTGCTCTGAACCCCTCTCAGGGAGAGCTCCAAGACAACCAGAAGTCCATGGGCACCACAACTGGCACAACAGCACAGATGGCCAAGGTATTTGGAAGCTCCTTGAGCAGAGTGGACCCCCTGCAATGTGAGGGAGCCCCACAGCAACTGCACCACATGGGATGGAAGCCTTGGCAGGGTGGGCTGCACCTGGGGCTGGCATGTGGAGCAAGGGACAACCAAGCTCTGTCAGGCCACATGAGGGTGAGCTGAGGCTCCTGCAGTGATGCCCCAGAGCTGTGCTGGCATGGAAGCTGCAGCCATTTCCTTCCCTCTGCCACCAGACATCCTCCCTCCTTTCCCCTTCCCATCAGCTGCTGTAAGGATGAAGGAACCTGACCCTTCATGGATGAGACAGAGCCCCAGCTCTGCCCTTTAAGCTGCTCCTGGGGGTTTAAACTTAAAACCAAACAAGATCCTGCTACAGAGGTTGGCTGACAGCCAGCCCAAGTCTCTGGGAAGAGCAGCCAGCAATGTCAGGGGCAAGGGGAGTGCTCGTAGGGGATGAAGCAATACTTGACAAATCTTGGTTCACTGTCCTGCCACAACCCAGCCCTTAGAGGAAATGAAAGCCCAGGGGGTTTTGGGCTGGGGAGGAACCTCCTAGAGTTTCCATCCTTCCTCTGCTCAGCCCTGCAGCATGGCCATTCTGCATCAGCAGGTCCCTTTGCCCCTATACAGTGCCCACAGCCACCACCTCCCTTTTACTCCCTTCCCACCTGGGGACCCTCTTTCCCTGCTCTCCTGGCCCTGCTGCCAATTGCTGAGCACTCCAACATTAAGATGCATTTTGCCAGAGGAGGCTGGGCTCGTTCAGCACTCCTGGCAGTCTAGCTGCCCTGTGCTTGACACTATTTCCTGCTCTTCCTGCCCAGAGAATGCACACACCAGCTAACAGCTCTGACAGCTATGCAAGGCTGAGTTGAGAAAAAAAAAATCTTGAAATAGCCTTCATTTTCATCAAGCCAACTTGCAACCTAATAAAAAAAACAAATAAACTTCTCTTACTCTGATTCCCACAGAGCTGTTAAGAAGCACTGATAGTCCTTCAGGTTGTTGTACATGCTGGATCCCAGAGCAGCTGTTCCAAATTCCACTCTCTGGGGATAATCCCACTCAGGCTGACTGGGGAGCAGTGGCTATTTCCCATGGGTCTGGCACCCAGCAGCATTCTTGTGGCACATGGCAGATGCCCAGTGCCTCCTGTAAGCCCCACCTGCCTCTGGCATATGCCCTTGAGGTCGTTTCCTTATTAGATGTAGCCTGGTAGCAACAGACTCACTTTGGATAACCACGTGTAAATTTTGGAGGGGTCGGAGACTCTTTCTTTTATAAGCAAATATCCAGAGATTTCTTCCCAAGAGCAAGCTACACTGCGTAGGCAGAGAAGAGCTCTCCAGGGAGTGTAAATGGGAGCAGCATTTCAGCTGATGGGTCTCTGACTGCCTGTCAGCAACACAAGCAGCAAACAAGGACAAGATGAAATACCAACATGAAGCTTGTGACAGCACCAGCCATTGGCACATGGGTGAGCTTGATCCCTGCTGGTTCCAGTCCCCAGGACACATTCTTGAGTACCAGGATGGATCTTTAAAAAAGCATGAAATTCTTTTGGAGCTGCAGCACATGCTCAGCTGGTGCTGAGTGTTACTGTCTGTGAGTTCCCACTGCTCATGTAACATTACTACTCATGTAACACTGCTAATTTTCTAATGCTTATTGCAGGCTGAGCACAGCCTGTCCCCACCTCGTTACCAACCCTGCAGGAATGTGCCCCGGAGCTGGGCTTGCTCAGCAGGAAAACACACCAACCCATCTGCCAGAAGCCACTCCTGAGGCAGTGGCACTCCCTGGGTCCCCTGTGACAGCTAAGGCAGGGCATGGCTTCTGCTGCTGGCTGTGCCACAGGGATTGCCCAGACTGGCAGAGAATGTCACAGCTGGTAGCTGGCCAGCCTCCCCAGCAGTGGGTGAGGCAGGGAGCAGAGCAGCCTCCAGCTGTTTTTGGTTCCCAAGCCCAGCCCTGCTGCACGGGGCAGAGGGGTGAGTTCATGGGCCACTGTGTCAGGATTTGTGTGCTACAGCCCCAGGCTGTCACAGCCCTGCTGCTCCCAACTGCAGCGAGCCACCTCCTGCCACAGCTGCTGGCTTCTGCCCCATCTGCCTGCCCAGCCTGGGCAGGGGCTGTGCACAAGTGGGATGAGGGACCTGCTTTCCTTGAGAGGCTCCAAGCACTGCCTCCTCTTCCTTGCAGGAGTAAGGCCCAGGCAGGGCTGCTCACCTTGCTTCACAGCATTCAAGCAAATCCGGGCTTGGTCACTCAGGGGTGGAATGGGACCTGGGTGAGAGCAGCCCCCTCCCCACAGCCCCAAAGGCAGCAGCAGCATGTGCCTGACTCAGGCTGTCACGATGCACCTCATCACCCCATCCCTGCTTGCTGGGCATGTGGAACAAGGAGTGTCCTCCCACACCCATGCCAGGGGGATGAAGATGCCTCAGAAGCCCTTGGTGCTGTCTGAGATGCCACAGCTCAGAGATCCATGGGGGATGTTGAGCCAGCCCATGTCCTGAGTTACCCAGACACAGAAGGAGCTTGTGGAGCTCGGGGAGGTAGCCTGGGAGAGCAAGCAGAAGGGAAAGGAGTGTCTTACCTTGGGGTAACAAAGCACCTGCTCCAGCTCAGTCACAGACCCCAGCCCACCAGGTCCGTGCTGCAAGTGGAGAGACCAGCAGGGCCGGGCTGTGTGTGTGCTCCTGCCTGGGAGGAGGCTCTGACAGGAAAGAGGGCGAAGTGCTGGCTCCCAGGTGAGTGACTCACTTCCCTTCTTGGCACTTTGGACCTGCTTAGTCGTGCCCTAGTTGCTTGACACCAGTTCTTCTGTGGTCCTTCCTCAGGCAGGCAGTAGAAGGGACACAGTGGTTGAGGCTCCATTGATGGTGAGGGGCTTGGCACACTCCTGTGTCACTCTCCTGTGGCACCTGGTGCCTCACAGGCCACAGATGGGGTAGCCCAGCCCTGGAGCAGCTCCAGGTCAGGGGCACTGCCTGGTTGGGCCAGGGGTGCAGAGGTGGTCCCAGCTCAGCAAGGAGGGGCCAGTACCCTCAGCAGATCTGTCCTCTGGGCTCCTCATTTCCTCCCAGGTCCTGGGGTCAGGAGGCAGACCAGTGAGTTCTTGTTCCAGGGCTTCCATGATGAGTGGAGATTCATCACGCCAAGTACCAGGAAGGGCCCTGCTCTGCTCTGGGAATCCCAAATCAGAAAACCTCAGCCAGAAAATACTTCAGGCAGGGGCAGCTCATTCCCTTTGCAGCACTATAAGCCCCCCTTTGTCCTTGTGCTTCTTCAGCTTG